GTACGAGAAGAACAAATATATTTGTATGTCTGTGCATTTATCGTAAACTCATTCTTAAGTTTTTTTCATATATAAACTGAGATAAATATGTGGAATAAAGTTTTTATCATGCAATGTTTAAATGTTTTTCTTTTGGGTTCCACGGAAAAATTCTTATTCACCCAATATGTAATGAATTTGGAATTTTAGACTGTCTTAAACTACTTAACTACATTGTATAACAAGCAGGTTTTTACAGTGTAACCTTCATAAATATGAAATGGAAAAGTGGCATTGCTTACCTTTCAGTAAGGAAGTATCTTTTTCAGTTCCAGTTACAGGTTGAAAACTAATTGAAGAATGTTCTCTGGCATTCAAACTAAGTGTCTGAGGCACATTTTCCACAGAATCATGATGAACAGGCAAAAGAAGTCCTTCACTTCTCATCCACTCAAGCGTACTTTTCCCCTTTTCATTGTCATTCCTTAACTCAACTGAACAAACACTGTCATCCTTTCTTAACTCTGCTGTGCTATCAGCAGGTTGAATAGTTAACATTACATTACTGCTCTCTGCATCTGCAGCAATTAAGTCACTAAAATCTTTTGTAAGTTCCTCTCTACAAACACTATTTCTTTCTTCGTGTCGTGGACTTCTCAACATATTTGTGCGAGGCACATGTGAACTAGCTTCAAAGTCAAAGGCCATTACATCTGATGACAATGTACTTTCTATACACTGATCTAGCATTTTGACTGGAGTATTTAGATCAGAATTTGAGGCAACACACATATTAGTACACCTTACAGAATCTGTTGGTGGTGATGAAGTGCACGCATTCATCATATAGTCTGTGCTATTTGTATCATCCACTGCCAACGGAAGTTCAAGGGCACCCAATTCATAATCAAGTTCTTCTCTCTCTAAATTCTCACCACTCAGGCTCATTTCCATAAGTGAAGCATTTTCAGAGTTGGAGTCATTGTAAGGAACAACATTATCATAGCACATATTACTAGTAATGGCTGATGGGAGTAAAGTTCCTAGAGGAGATCTAGCATCAGACGTAGGGTTTCCTTTATTCAAAAAAGAATCTTCTGAATCTAGGCATGATAGCTGTACGTCATCTGCAGCTGAATTGTCATGTGTTACACGGTCAGCAGGTGGATCAGCTAGAAGAGGAGACTGTGGAGTAACAATAGGATCCACAACACTTGGCATAATTGGTACAGAAGAAGGCAGGATGCCCTGCAGAGCTTGGGGCAAACTGTCTGGAACGTTTCCATTAGCCATTATAACTAATTGCTGAGATGTAACTTCCCCATTTTGTGATGCACCAGATGTTGCTGAATTATTTGTAATACCATTTCCAGTAGAAAGAACATCTACAAGAGATGAGGATCCATCTTCATTTTCAACAAGAAACTGTAAACTATACCCCATGCTCAATAAACTTTTAACATCACGAACAACAGTATCACCAGCTACCCGTGTAAAGAATTCATGGTTTAAGATAGTCTCAGGTACTCTGGCAGGCTGTGTTACTGGTTTTTCACGAGCTGGTTGTTGAAAGCTTTGCAAGAGGAGATCAATATCCTTCTGTTGATCAATTGGAATTAAAAGATTTTGAAGAGTATTTTCACCCATAACTGCCACAAGTTTTCGACTGTTTTCATCTAACTTTTCTGCATTTTCTTGAAAAGTGACTGATGGTTTCATTGGCACTAAATCAGTAGTTAGAGACCTACTTGTTGGTATATCTTGGGTATCATTTCTTGTAACAAGAACAGAGTCGCAGTTCATGACCATATTTCCATTAAGAGATGGATTTTCCTGAATGTATGTTGTATTTCTGGGAAGAGGATCCATTGTCTGCTGCACACATGAAGGAGTCAAAAAACTTTCAGACTCAGAGGTTTTTTCACACAAAGAACCGCTCGGCTTCTCAAAAATGTTTGAAGATTCCTGGAACAAAATCACAACCCATTGAATAAATACATTTCAAATCAGATGTATTGTGGATTTAATTTAATGATAATCAGAGGACATAAAATTTTGATTATTTTGACTTTAAAGCGTCCCAACCTCAGATTGCAGAATGAAATTAAATAGAGCTAAATGTCTTTCTCACACGCTGATTGTCCCAAATTACCTTCCTTGACTAACAACACTGTTGTTGCTATTTCATGAACATGTAAGTGTCAGCATGCGAGAAACTTTTATCTCTTCAGTTTAACCTATAGGATGCAAGCAAGAAAAAGTTACAAAAAGTTTGAATACATACGTGTTTATGCAGTGTTTACATACATTTAGATGATTAAGGACAGTTCTTAATAAGTGTAAACTACTCTCAAACAAAAATGTTCTTAATAAATGAAATCATATTCTCATGATCATCAGGTGAACATTTTCCATTGAAGAGAAAATAAATTTCCCTGTCATCAACTTTTATACCTCCACTCAACATATTTGGTCTTCCACCACAATTTTAAGTGAAGGCAGGAGTGTCATCATTGATTAGTGATTAACATGTATTTACTACAATATTTTAACTGAAATAATGTTAAATTTATTTTGATAAACAATAATATTCAACCTTCCCTTTTAATTCATTTAGGCATTGGAATGTATTTCAGTATATTACTGTAAACATTTTCCTTAATAATCTAAAAGTATGTATGTAAACAGTGCATAAACACGTATGTATGTAAACACTTTTCTAACCTTTTTTTTGCTTGGATCCTATAGGTTAAACTAAAGAGATAGTTTCCCGCATGCTGACACTTTCATATTAATGAAATAGCAACAACAGTGTTGTTAGACAAGTAGGGTAATTTGGGACAAGAGGCATCCTTATAGCAATTCATAAATATGAATGTATCATAATCATCGGGTCAATTAAATGATTAAATGTTATTCAGTACTAGAAAATGTTCAAAACTATTCTCGTCTAGAGACACAGAATAGTAGAAATCATAGAACTACATTTGTCAGTTAGACTGTACTGCAATCTAAAGTTGAGTAGTTAAATAAAAATACAAGTAACTGAAAATTTCTCAAAATGGTAATTCACATATACTCAACAATACTCAGAACAGAAATCTGAACCACAAATAACAATTATCAACACAAAAGCAACACAACATAATTTATGAACTCAAAGCATTAGACAACTTTTAGTATGTGACGGCAGGCAATAGTAGATGGTCATATAAATAAACAACAGCAATGATTTAAACAATTTTCTTTTTACTGAATTTTTAAGAAATGTAAATAATTATTTATTTCTTTAAAATCAATTTAAAACATGCACAATTTCAATTTCTTTTTCCCCCCTTCGCAATGTCCCTTTAAAAACCACTTTTGTCCACTAGAACTTTGAACATAAAGCAAAAGGAGTCAGCAAAAAATAGAGGTTTTTAAAAATTGGTTTGTTGTTTTTAATCCACTCAGCAGAAAAAGAGGGCCTTTCAGGATCTGTCATAAATACATACCTTGGGATGGACAAAAGTAGAAAAATGAAACAAAAATTATCATTGTGGTTGTTGGAAGGTAATTTAACACTGCTTACAGTTTACATGTAACATACAGTTGCATTGACAATAAATATTAGCACAGGAAACCACTAGAAGGCAGCTTGTACCAAGCATATAAGTATTATGAAGTCTTCGCCTCTATTGCTCACAACCTATCATTTTCATAAAATTTCAAGGTTCAAGAAAAACATAAAGAAGAGAAAAGATGGTTCTCATTACATCAGCTCTTAAAATATGGGGAATAGTAAAAGTGATCACACATTCGAATGGAATCAACAATTATCAAAAGGGGGAAATACAAGTAATTAGAAAAAGAGCTCATTAGGTGTGTATGTATGACAGGAACTCACTTCATTAGAGTAGGTGTCGTTTATGCTCATGGGATCTCCTGAGCAAATTAACATCATACTGACAGTTGTCATGGAACAATGCACTACATACAATATACAATTTAAAATGTACAAGGAATTTAATGCATTAAAATAAAATAACATCTATGCATTGTTATAGAGACACTAACACACACGCATGCATACATGCATGCACACACACACACACACCTAAACAATACCTACACACACATATCTACACATGCACACACCTACACAAACACAAATTCTACTGAATGTATCCCATTAATGTATTTAGTTCCAAATGGGAAAAGGAAGTAAAAAAAAAGGTTCATTTTCTGAAAAGAATTATCAAGACTAGCTAAATCAGTATGTTAATAATGACTGAACAATGAGAGAGCATTATTTGAAACTTACCGAGGGTTGGGTCTCTTCTTCTGAACATTCTTCCATTGGCAAGGGATCATCTGGTTCACCAGAAGTTTCAGCGAATTCCCCTCTAAGGGGAATGGGCTCCATTAGGTCAGATAAATCATGTTGTGTTGCTTTATGATCATCCAACAACTATACAACAGAAAATATGTATTTTGAGATATCAGGTCTGCTTTTCCCCATTATTCCTCATTGTTCAATAAATCATAAATATTATTTCTTTTTATCAAAGGATTGATTGTCAGTATTCTCATAATAATTTATTTATTCAATAAAATATTTGTCTTACTCATTAACAATTCTAATGTTTTTTTAACAGAAATAGACGATAGATCTATTAACCTGCAGGTCATGATGACATTGGTTATGATCATAACAAATGTTTACTTTTTATATATATTGTATAAAGAAAGTTTTGTAATACTGGAAAAATCAATATAAACCTATTTGGAAAGTCTTTGAAACCAGAAAAGTGTTTTATTTTAAAACATTTGTCTGAACCACATTACCCCCCTAAAACCTTCTGAAAGTTTTCACCAAAGTGGATATTCCATAATCATTCTAATTGCTGTCTTGGCTCCTTGAATTTGTAAGGGAGTTTTTTTATTTTAAGAGGAACTTCACATAATTCATAAATATAAAGGACGGGTACATTCTCGTGAATGGGCTTCCAGGGGGTTTGACGCTGCATTGGAAGAATGAT